TATCATGATTAGCCGGCTTTGTCTTGTTCGGAGTAAGTCAATCCTGGTCATTTTGAATTCCGATTTTGGTCAAATTGTACTTCGTAAAACTGTAATTGCCCTTTGTAGCCCTTCGTTTACATCGCGATACAAAGTTTTCATAACACTAGCGGTTCAGTCTCGCGTATCAGTGATTCCATATTGGGAAGTAGATCTTGATTGGTTCTCCGAAGAACCCCGGCATTGGATTAGAGTTATACAATTAAAGTATTATTTGTTTGTCCAATTAGTTCAAAAGCAATTGCTTTAAATGGCCGGTATCAATGTGTGATTTTCTATTATCGCATTTCGTTTACCTTAAACTGGATTCTAAACGTTGGAAAAAACGTGTTTCTTTTTCTTTCAATGGCTCTCTTTATGGCAATTGTCTCTACACGCCTCAAAGTTTCTATTGTCACAGTCTGCGCAATTGTTTTCATAATCTAAATCAGTCTTTTTAAAGGTTACGGTCACTGTACGATAGAAATTAGGCAATTACGTAATGAGGTTCTAGGTAGACTACTCCGACTGCTCTGCAAAAACTATTCCTGCAGTACTTTTACTTTTTTAGTGGAATAATTCATACTCCGTGTTTTAAAGTTTTTTAGCATTACGATTTCAATACCTCAGTGTCCGTTTGGTTTAAAGCGGTAGAAAAGTCAAAAGCAGGGTTTTTTTTACTGGTTAATGATCGTGTAAGGTTAAAGCACTGCTGGAATTGATTTATGCATCTTATATCATCTTAATTAATCGAGTTCCCTCTACGCTTTTTCGGGACAATTCTCTGCTTCTTAGTTGCTTCTTCCGAAGCATGTTGCTTTAAATTAGCTTTTGTTCCACCAAAGCTCTTTAATCTTAACACAAGAAATTACAAGCTATGTGTTTTGCTAAAGTTCTTTTTCGTGAATATAATCTGCAAGTTTTTTTAAAGTCAAAACAAACCACATAATCGATGAGCGTTCCTTTAATGAACTTATAAAGATTATTTCTTGAACTATAGAATTACTCTACAGGAGCCTTCAAACTTGCATTAAATTTTTCAAATTAGCAATCTACCAAAAATTCATATCTAGCCTTAACTATGCTCAAATCATGTTATTTCAAGTGCTTTGATTACGGTAAATTTCGCTTAAATCCTTAATTTATGGAGGAAAAAACCCGCGACAAAACACGTTGCTTATTTACTTACAAATTTCTCGCTTTTATTTGAAAGAACATTCCTAAAAACTGAGACCTTCGAGAAGGAAATAGAAATAAGGTTTAGTATTGTATGCACCCCTCGTATAAAGATATAACTTACAAAGCAGAAAACGTAAGAGGATTTCTATGTCCATAAAAAATTCCAAAAATTTACTTCTATCGGTGTCCTACTGGGCATCGGTAATTTTATTTAACGAACCCAATAAATAATTATCCTCAAAATTTTAAAATTTACGGCGCAAAGCAACGACATTTTGCTAAAGCTTAATATTCAAAAAGGGAAGGGTAAGGGTGCCATACGAGACATCCGAGCTAAAATTACAGGTGTACACTTAGAGCATGCCTCAAGGATTAAAAGATTTTTTGTATGGTCAAAACATTTACCTGGGGATATAGTTTTTAAGCCTTCACCAATTGTTATGTATAATTAATAATAAAGTAATTGTACTCGTAAATTCGATTTTCCAGACCTTAAAAACGCATGAAGCGAATTAATGAGAAGAGTAGTGCTGTAATTGGACCGGTGTTATTTCTTGCCAACTCTTTTGCTTTGGACCGACCAATTTAAACGCAGTAGTGAATAATACTTTGCCGTGTTAACAGTATTTTGAGTTCAGCAATAGCTCTGATAATCTGCGCAAGGAAATTATGTTGTATTGGCGACGATGGATAATTTTGATAACAACTGCCTTCACCATAACAGGAGTTCTTGCAAGTAGGTTGTTGTAAAACTTACAATACTTTCAACTTGGATGCCTTTTTTACTGTATCGAATCACTGGGTGAACGGCTTTCATGTAAGGTTTAATAGCTGTTTTTATCCGGTTTTAAGTGGATACACTGAGTGAATTTGATTCTTCTTTATGAGAGATAACAAATCAGTAAATATTTATACCAATGCACCGTTACTGAATGAATTCCTTTGACCAAATTTACTTTTTACATTGTGGAAATTGGTAAGAGACATTTGTTCTCAAAATTTAATCAGTGAAGCAATCTATTGGTATCTTCAAGCGATAACAAGGAATTTTCACATCATAGTGGGAAGAGAATGTTCGGTTTTCGTGTCACTGTCTTTTTACCGATTTGAATCTTCTTCACAGACTTTTCTTAAACAGATTTTGAAATTCGTTTCTTTTAAAGAATGCAAAAAACTCCTTAATGAGAAAAAATACCATCGCTATTTTGAAAGTATCTGAGAAGTTGCTTGTTGTGTCGTTTTACACCACACAATTAGCCACCCCCTTTAGTTCAAAATCATCTTTTTGAACTGTCTTGCACAAAGTACGTTCTGTGTTCTTGAATTATAAAGTTTGATAAAAGGAATAAACTCCATTATTACCTAACTTCTAAAGTAAGATGACGGTAAAAAACAAATATCTTAACCTGATAAGAATTCTATTTTACTAGTTAAAAGCATTCATTTTTTCTTGAGCCTGACAGTTTTAATTTACGTAAGCGAAGATAAATTTTGAAATCATTATGGTCGAAAAACCGTTTATTAATGATCTTTATTGGAATACTTCTTGTGATGTTCAGATAAATATTTTCAGCTTTTCATCTAAATTCGTAATTATTTGCAAGCTAAATTCTTTCTCTGTAATCACCGCAGAACGTTATTTTTAAGGGTTAGGCGAAATTATGTAGAGACTGTTTTTAAGAATTCACCTTTACGTATAAAATTATATATTACGTATTTCTAATAAACGTAGGATGTTGTTTACATTCTCACCACAGTACAAGCTGCTATAAACTCGTAAAAGTAAAATGTGATTTTATGTACCTGCTCGTCGCTTGTTATGACACTTTAGTTTTATCCAGAAAATTACCATATAGAATTTTCAAACAAATTCTAACCAAAGTGTTAATCACGCCAAAAGATAAAAGATAACATCAGTGTAACATCGTAATTATGGATCCAAACTGAGAAAAGCTCGGCGAATATCTAATCTGATACAACAGGAGCAAAAATTGTTCCTGATTACTGAGAGGTGTACTGTACTATTTCTTAATCAGGGTAATGATTTCAAATTTGTTTGTAGATATGAGGGACACTCGCAGCAAATACGTGTGTGAAAATGATGTCATGCATTTGAGCTGTACATCGCCAAAAGTACTCAAGATTCACGGAGCAGACTATGGTGGGTCAGAGGTTTCCGTCTGTGGTGAAGGAAAAGCATCGAACGTACCATGCAAAGTTATAGACAGAACAGACAAAATAAAGTTCGTATGTGATAATAAATCAAGTTGCTCCCTTGTAGCAATGACCCGCATTTTTGGTGATCCTTGCCCAAGCTCAAGCAAGTACCTTAATGTCATGTATGCCTGTGGTAAGTTCATATTTCGTAATTGCAGTCTGTGCTGTTTTGAATTTTGAAAGAATGCTTTCCTGGAGTAATGTCAAAGGAAGTGATTTGTGTTGAATTTTGTCTGTTCTGAAGCAACTTCCCACTCTTTAAAACCTTTTTTAGCGATTATTTTAAGCCGCTGACAGTAAGTGAATAGCTGTAAAACACATTATGAATAATTAAGAATAATCTTTCACGAAACCCTTTATTGCCAATAGGCCATTTCCGAGTTATTTGCATGATGAAAAGCTTTGTAACCTTAGCTTTGAAACTAAGGCTTGGGCAACTCGGAAATGGCCTGTTAGGGTTTGTTTACTGTGTTATTGATACAATGAATAAAATCATCTAATGTAATATCGAGCGTCAATCCAAAGCAATTAGACGTGCTTCAAATTTAGCTGAATTGCTTAAATCATAACCTGCTAATTAATGCTATTATTTGTTTATAGTACTACCTGCAAAAGGTTTGTAATTTTCACATGTAGGTATTTCAAATTAAGCTGAAATACCACTGCTCTAAGCCAATCAAATTGCAGAAATTTCTCATGTAGTAGTATAAATTTTGTAATCTTTCATTGGATATAAGAGCGACCACCGGTTACCAAAGCGCACGTTGGATTAAAACGGATATCCTGGAAAACCTCAGAAATTTAGACAAGAGAGAGGGAACAGAAAAGACACAAACTCTATGTTATTTTGTTACAAGATGTAGAAGAAATTAAATTATGTGATGCTTTGTCTTTCACTATTTTGATTTAGTGAAGCCACCCGATGCCGCAACGACCCCTCAGTCTTCAATTGCTACTACTAAAGGATTGAATGCATCAGCAATGAACCTCACAACCTCCACAAATACGACGCAGCCATCATCAACAGAACCTTCAGAAAAGAACACACATGCACATGTACTACCCACCAGACCAGACAAGAAAACTGCCAAGACCCAAAAATTCGTGCCAGTGTTTGATCCATCCAACAACTTCGATCTAGAACCCATTTTTGACTCAGCTCAGGGCGTTAAATGTAGCACCGGGGAAATTTTCTTGTTGGTTTTGATGACCTCTGCAATTTCATTTTTGAGGTAATAGATTGTGGAAGGCTTTGGACTGCCGATTTGAAAACAAGTCACTGTTTTGCATACACTTCTTTAAAAAATGTTTAATGTGAAATCTAAAAACACATTTATGCTAGATTGTTCTGTGTGTATTATTGCTGAGTATTTTTACGGGCTGTGTTGTGAAATAAGAAATGAGTAAAACTACTAAGCGATACTACACACAAACGATTTCAGAAGCTATTAATAATCCATCTCTTATGTGCCAAACTTTTACTGAGAAAACTGTAGAATTGAGGAACGTGTGACAGTTTTTTAGCCGGTGACGTGCCAGTGGTAAGACTGTGATTGGCCAAAGTAACGACAGCTTGTCAAACCAGTTTTCCAAACAACGCAGGTGCCTTTCGAAAATAAGTCAACGATCAAATAAATATTTTTCAGAACTGTGAGAATGAAAGTGATCTCTGCTTCAATCAAAACTGTTACAGGAAATTTTTGCTCGTCAATTTATGGAGAACCTTTCTGAAAGGGCGCAAATAGCAGCTAAGACACTCGTGGAAGAACTAGAACGTGGTTGGCTCACGAGTTTGGTGTCGTCTCGCTTAGCCAAGTATTACATTTTACAAGTCAAAGTTTGTAATTACTCCATTGACAATATATCTGCCTTGCCAATAAAAGAACACGATCTTTTTTCACTGACTTCCAGGTCAGTTGAATTTCCTTTTTTTGGTCCTATGTAACCATTTTTTCTTAATTTGCTCTCTTAAATCTACGATTTGATGGATCGTTACCGTTTACTGGAAATGTCTCCTTTGCCTCGCACCTTCCAGTATAGAGCAATTACAACACTTGATGTTTGTTTTGAACGGAGATTAAGTTTAGCGACGGTTATTATGATCGTTTTGCAGTAGTTCAAAACTAGATAACAAAAATATTGGGCCTCTGCTTTGATCTGATGAGTTACTCAGTCGCATATTCAAAACAATAATAAAGATAATAATACATGGCAAGAAAGCAAAGAAAATGAAGAAATCGAAATGCAATACGGCTAATTGTAATTGCTACAATATTTTGCCATCTTTAATTTGCTGTGAATTCTTTTTAATACATGTAATTGTACGTTGAGGTTAATATAACGAATCCCCTCCTTCGTCTCCTCTGTTCATGAGCTTGCCTCTCGTTGTCTCAATATCAAAGGAAACACTTGACATAAGACATGTTTGTCGTGTTTGATACTGGCTTTCCTTAACTCTTGGCCTGCCAGAAGAGGCAAAGGTCAAAACTAGACAAAATTTCCAAATAAGCAAAATAGTACTATGCGAAAAAAACTCAAGAGGCTTGATTTGAATGGTGGCACCGATTTTAGTCCTCAGGTTCAAAAGTTAGAATTTATCATTCACTCTATGGCTGAAACAGACAGAGACTGCACTAACGCGTAGAAGACAAAGACCAATCAATAAATTGTAAATTAAGTGTAAATTTAGCTACGTTTTGCTGCCAAGAAAGTGCAAGACTGTCTGTGTACGTGACATGTACATAATCAGAAACTTTAGAGGGGCTATGTAACGAGGATATTGCTTTCATGCATGGGTCAATTCTGTGCTTGATCATGATCTATACACAAAATGCTCCTGTAGAGTTATGACGACGATCAAAAAAATTTCATCAGGGAGCACTAAACATGTGGCGATTTTTGCACGCAGCATTGCACCAAAACTCAGAATTGAAAAAAGTTGGCTTAACTTTTACAGTCAAGTTTCAATCTATGTCCATCCTTGTCATCCGTTGCAACAGACAATAGGAAATAGGTTCATTGCCTAAATATAGTCTTCAGAAACAAAACTGGGCCATAGTTTTTGATAATTCATTTGACGCAGAGACAAATTTTAACTTTAATAAGATAGCAAGTAACGCGACATAGAAAGACTAAAGACTTCTGAAGACTTCTGTATCCTGGCCCCGCTTGATCAAAAGTTGGATGGCACTATTCACCGCATAAATCACTATACAGTGAATAAGTACAGTAAAAACCCGCATATAAGAACCTAGCGATTTAAGAACCTACAGGCTGAATTTGGCATTTAATTAAATACCTAAAAAAATATAAGAACCTTTTCAGTCTGGGAAAGAAAAATAGGTTTATATACAGAAAAAAAATCACTTTTTCATAGTGAAAATTCTGGATTGTAATCGTGTGAGAAAGTTCTGACAACGAGTTATTGTGTATATGTTTCTTTATTCTGTATGCGAGCATTTTTGTTAGAAGTACAATATTTCTGCCAACGGTTATACTACGACAACCTCTGAACCTATTCAGAATCTAATCAGCCTGAATTGTGAAAAACTACCCTAAAATATAAGAACCTGTTCAGCCTGACCTCGAAAATCCTAGCTTCTAAAATGCGGGTTTTTGCTGTATTACAGAAACCAATTACGCTATCCACTGGACAAAGATTTATCTAGTGGAGAGCGTTATCCAGCTTTTGACAAACTAGGGCGTGGAGGTTAAAAGTTACTGAAAAAGTGTCATCCTTTCTTAAATCAGCTAAGGCATCAAAGAGGGAGATTATTCTTATTACGGTAGACATTTGTTTTCGAACGCCTCATAATTCAGGAACAAGTCAGAAATTCTGAGTAGGGGCCACACCTTCCTCTCAAGCGTTTCGCAGAGGCCTTACCGCTGATTACCGCTAGCACATTGTGTTGAGTGCATCCCGACAGGAAATTTAGTTGCTAAGGCCTTATGATATCTTACCCCCCTTAGGTTGGCCATTTTGGTTCACAAGAACAAATACGTATCTCTTCGCCATGCTCTAGACTCGGCTTTTTTCACGAAAATTCTGCGAAAAAGAGAAATTCATCGTTTTTCAAACAACATGGCCTTCTTCGGACCTGTTCACATTTTCCTTAGACACCAATGTTCATATAATCTCTGTCTCTACTTCTGATAGAAGAGAGCTTTTTAGGAGGTATAAGATTCATGATTCAAAAGGTGCCCTAATCACGGGTGAGTGCTTAGATATCAGTGGTAAAAGGGATTTGCCCACCTGTTGTCTGGAAGTAAAGATATAACTGAGAATGATGCCTTATGGCGCGGTGTCGACTAAGGGAGATATATTTCAAATCATTTTCTTCTAGCCCTTGCTGTTTATCAAAGCAACTTAAGGAAAAGTGCTTTTTTCAGCTGTTTTCCTTGTAAAATAGTGTTCTTGTACTCTTTATGTGTTACCTGTAATTATTTGCTAATCGATCGGCCGTGATACTCTTGCGAGAAAAGAGAATGGTTGCAGAAAATTGTTCTTCTTAATTCTTAAAAATGTTCTATGCAACCAGGCTCTAGGCTCCGGTTTTGAAGCACGGATTGGTGCTGTGCCTCAACACAGGAAAAAGCAAACAAACCAAAAAATACAAAACAAGACAGAGAAAAACAAGAAAACAAAGACAAAACAAACAAAACAAAAAAGTTACTCACATTAATTGTTCAAGAAAATCTATTTTAACCTGCCCAATATAACACAGACAAGGGTTGACAAGGGCTTTACTATTTCCTAAAAATAGATTTCACTTCATTAGCCTTAAGAGGCTTTGACATTTATTAGCGTTTACATCTGTTCCCGGCAGCCAGACTTTACAAAGGAACTATTTTAATTAAAGTGCACAAGGGCAAGAGAGGATTTAGAGATTTATCCTTCTTTCACATAAGACGCTTCTTAAAGTAGAATTCTGAAAAGTTCGCGAATCCTATAGCGTAAAGTTCAAATTTTCAATCAGAACGTCTGAATTTTTATAGTCACATAGCAATATATATTTAAAAGACCTCCAGTTCCTAAGCAGTTTCATGATTCACGCATGTGCAACGGAAGACCTCCTTCTAGAAAAAGTTTCATTTTAGTGTGGGATATTTTTAAATCGGTAAAGTATTGGTATCAATCTACGAAGATATCTTTATCGAAAGAGCGTGATAACTGATAAGTTTACTCACCTTGATGCTCAGTGAACAGTTTTAATTCAAAATTTATCTTTGATACAGTCATCAGCAGTGGAAACTGATCCATGAACAGTATAAGCTAGTATTAATAGTTATTTCATTGATCCGCTGTCTGTTAATATTACGTCTTTTGATTTCTTTTAACGTGGGCGACTGTCAGGTGTGGTAAAACATAATTACAATTTTCATGTTTGTTATGACAGCTATTATTACGCAATTGACTTTCACCGAATAGAATTTACTTCAGCTTGCGAGCGAGAAGGCGAAAGATGAGGAACTGTCAGAGGGCATCCATGCAACTATGACCTGATGAGCTGCTAAATAGACACAAAATACACCCTTCTCCGGATATTTTGTCATTCTAATCAGAGCCGTAAGATTTAAAACTTGCCAATCACGTTTTAAGCTTATCTACCTAAAACTGAATTCCCACGTGTGTTTTGGTTTATACGTCGTCCTAAGTGGGACTACTTTTTTTTTTACATCACATATAGCTGACCAAAGATACTGCTGCTCTGTTGGTAGTAGAAGTGATATCTTATCGGAAATTATGGATTCATTAGTTCCTTTTGACAAACAAATCGACAATGGTACTTACATGGCTGAAAATTTTTAATTTTTTTGTAAAATTTCATTTTCTCAGGCAGATAATATCAACGTTAAGAAAGTCACGTGCTATAAAAGACCGAATTTCGGGCTTTTTTCCGAAAGGTTCGCAAAGCAGCCAGGTTGGCTTCAGCGCATGGGTCACGTGTCTTGATTACGCCGCAATTGTATTTTAACTGTCAACAAATCGGCAAAACTAAAGAGACATAGCCAGTTAGAGAGTGATTAGCATCAACAAACACAAACCTACTTTTGAGAGACTAACTTGCATCGAACATGCTGCGCTCATTTCGAACGTGTCAAAACAAAGCTTGCCATATTGTTTCCTAGTTCTACCGAAAGTTTGCCCAAACACACCGCGGAGATAGAACAACTGTGCGGGCTCTACACAGACCGCAAACATGTCCTTGAACCGTGCTCTGTTCTGGCTCGTATGT